TCCCCTGAGTCCTCCAGAGAAAAGCCATCAGGATGGAAAACAAAGCCCCCAGCACACTCCTTCTCTACCAGCACACCCGTGCCTTCCTCCTGCCCCTCTTTCCCTAGAGTTCTCACTCTCTCCTGAGCACAAGGTGTGTTTTCCTTGCCCCTTCCTTTCTCTGAAGCTCCCAGGGCCACTCTTTTGCCTCTGTAACTTGTTTCCTGAGCCCACTTCTTCTGCGGCTCACTTCTTCTACCTCTATGTCTCTCTAAATACATTCCTTCTTATCATTTCAGTCTTGGCTCTGAATTCTTCTCTTAGCCAGAACCCATGAACTGAGTTTGCTGAACTGATGTCTAACACCCGGGGCCGTTTTTGCTGACAACAATCCCATAGCCCCTGGCACCATGACACCAATGTCACCTACCAATTGACCTTACTGAGGTCCCATGTGGCCACAGAAATAACCATTCAGCTCATTGTCTCCTATGAGTTTGGGCCACAACTTCTGGGTTATTGTGAGTAATAACAAGAGAGTCAGGGCCTCAGGCAAATGGAACTGAGGACTGGATTCCGACAGGGACAGGGGGCCAAGAGGACGCTAAAATGGAAACTAACTTCAAAACTGAAGAGGAACATATTGCCTTCTGAATTCAGATGCTCCACAGAACCTGACCATCGGTGTCTTTCGTGGAAATAATACAGGCAGGAGAGACCTTCTCCTTTGCAATGCTGTGATGGTGGGATGAGGTGTCCACAGCACCTCAGAATAGAGCTCAAATATCAGAGCTTGAATGGTAGCAGGGCTGAGATCAGAAATGTAGAGTATAGATATTAGAAAGCTCCCTAGATCCTGTCCTCAATTATCAGCCACTGCTCTCACTACCATAACAAAGACCTTCTTGTCAAATCTTATGGAGACTTTGCATCCTCACTTCTATGGGTCACTTGGAGGGATCTTTTTTTTTGGCAGCTGATTTCTTCTTAAACTTCTCAGCTTCCTCCCCAAGAGCCACATTCAAAGATCAGACGTTGCGTTTGAAGACCCCTCTTGTTCCTATCTCTTCACCCAGCCTCACCTCTTTAGTTGACAATACTTTCACTTTAATTATTTTCCCCTGGCAATTTATTTGCATGGTCTCATATATTCAAAGGGTTCAAAAGAGCATGTAGTAGAATGTAACTCTATTCTTCACCCCAGTTTCCTAGTTTTCTTCACTCAAGTCATTCATTCTAAACTGTATCTTATTTATTTATCCAGAGATATTTATGCATATATAAGGATATTTCTATATCTATCTCTATGTGTAGATATAAATATAGATTTTGCATGAGCATTTTTTGTGAGTCTTTTTTAAAGACATGAAGCATTCTACATACATTGTTTTGCATCTCGTTTTCTAAATTAACAATAATTATTGAAAATCTTTCCCTGTTAGTAGATAAATAATGTCATCCATTTTTTTTTACAACTGCAAAGTATTCCACGGCACATGTGTACTTCTTAATCCTTTCACCTTTTTCACCCATCTCCCCTCCCATCTGGTAACCATCAAAATGTTGTCTGTATCTGCGTATCTGTTTCTGTTCAGCTTGTTTGTATTCTTTGTTTTATAGATTCAATGATTGATAGATATGTATTTATTGCCATTTCATTGTTTATATTTTTTATCTTTTCTTTTTTCTTCTTCTTCTGAAAGAACACCCTTCAACATTTCATATAATACTAGTTTGGTAATGATGAACTCTGGCTTTTTCTTGTCTGGGAAGCTCTTTATATGTCCTTCAATTCTAAATGATAGCTTTGCTGGGTAAAGGAATCTTGGTTGTAGGTCCTTGCTTTTCATCACTTTGAATATTTCTTGCCACTCCCCTCTGGCCTGCAAAGTTTCTGTTGAGAATTCAGCTGTCAGTCCTGTGGGAGCTCCCTTCTAGGTAACTAACTGCTTTTTTCTTGATGCTTTTAAGATTCTCCATTTTCTTTAACCTTTGCCATTTTAATTATGATGTGTCTTGGTGTGGGCCTCTTTGGGTTCATCTTATTTGGGACTCTCTGTGCTTCCTAGACTTGTATGTTTATTTCCTTTACCAGGTTAGGAAAATTTTTCTGTCATTATTTTTTCAAATAGGTTTTCAATTTCTTGCTCTCTCTCTTCTCCTTTTGGCAATTCAATAATGAGAATGTTGGTATGCTTGAAGTTGTCCCAAAGGCTCCTTACACTATCCTCATTTTTAAAATTCTTTTTTCTTTTTACTGTTCTGATGGGGTGTTTTTAGCTTTCTCATATTCCAAATTGCTGGTTTGAGTCTCAGTTTCAATTATTCTACTGTTGATTCTCCGTAAATCATTTTTATTTCAGTTAGTGTACCCTCATTTCTAAATGGTTCTTTTTTATGGTTTTCATGAACTCTTTTATGTTGTTGAAGTTCTCACTAAGTTCATCTACTCTTCCCCTAAATACATTGATCATCTTTATAACCTGTGTTCTGAACCCTGCATCTGGTAGATTGCTTGTCTCTACTTTGTTACGTTCTTTTTCTGGAGTTTTGTTCTGTTCTTTCATTTGAAACATGTTTCATTGTCTCTTCAGAAATGCAGAGTATAGATATTAGAAGCACCCTAGATCCTCTGTCCCCGCTTATCAGGCCCTACTCTCACCGCCATAACAAAGACTTTCTTCTTGTCAAATCTTATGGAGACTTTGCATCCTCACTTCTATGGGTCACTTGGAGGGATCTTTTGTTTTGGCAGCTGATTTCTTCTTAAACTTCTCAGCTCCCTCCCCAAGGGCCACATTCAAAGACCAGACGTTGCCTTTGAAGACCCCTCTTGATTCTATCTCTTCACCCAGCCTCACCTCTTTAGTTGACAATCCTTTCACTTTATTTTCCCCTGGCATTTTATTTGCATGGTCTCATATATTCAAAGGGTTCAAAAGAGCATGTAGTAGAATGTACCTCCGCTCCTCACCCCAGTTGCAGGCTCAATCCCCCGTGTGGGGCATGTAGGAGACAGCCATCAATGATTCTCTCTCATCATTGATGTTTCTATCTCTCTCTCCCTCTCTGAAATAAATTAAAAAATATTTCTTAAAAAAGTGTTCACCCAATGCTTCCTGGGGCATCTGGGGTATTCCAGCCCTGGGAAGGTTTCTGCACAGGGAGGATTTGGTGCCAGAAGAGTCTTGGAATCCCACTCTCTGTCCCCACGAGTAGGACTCCAAGAAAGCTGTCTGGAGGAAATTGACCCTCAAATTCCACATCTGTCTTGAGGGAAGTAGGTGTTGGTCTTCAGGAGGTAAGAGGCAGGGTTTCTGGGTACAAGAAGAGGGAAGGGTCCACCCTGCTGTGGTGCAGGGGGGAGAAGAGCTCAGCTTTCGCTTCCCCTGCAAAGGCCCAAGGGAGAGAGGGGAATTTCTGTTGAAGGGAGAAGTTTGGGCCAGAAATCCTACATTTCCATCCAGAAAGAGTCTCCAGGTCTTTTACCACCCAGCAGTTGCCCCCACCTCCAGGCTGAGAGTCAGATGGTGTCAAGGGAATGTGGACTATTTCTTTGCAGCCTAGAGATGCAGATGCTGCAGTGGCCACAGCTGTGAGAGCTACTGAGGTCTGAGCAAGAGGTTTCCGGGCGGGGCTGCAGTCAGAGACTGGTCCCTGGAGGATATTGCAGAAACAGTGTGTGACCTTCAGTCAGTGACACAGCAAAGGGGAGCCTGCCTCTGCCTCCTGTCCCATTCTCCAGTCCAACCCATGGGTTTCCTGGGCTAATGTTAGCCCACTCCACAACCACCTTCATATCCTGGAGGTGACCAACTGACACCATCATCCCCTCTCTGGCCACAGGCCCTATCAAAACTTGATGAGAGAACCTAGGGCCAATTCCACCAACTGGGGGACCGAAGGGCCCATAGTTGTGCTCTGAGCATCATATTTTCCAAGATGTGGGGAAGTGGGAATACTTCAGGATAGAAAGAGATTACATGAACCATGACTCCCAATATATGACACTGTCTCTGAATGTGACAAGTAGCCAAGGGTCCCCAGGAAAGAGCCCCATGGGCCAACTCTACTGTCTTCCCAGTCCAGCTCTGCCCATTAACTGTGCTCTTGGAGATGGTACCCCCATGCCCTCTGTTACTTTTGTCAGGGCTCTGGGAGTCACTCTAGGTGCCTCCCTCCCCCACCCATCACACCTCCCCTCAAATTTCACTTCCTCAAAGTGTCTTCCACCTCAAATCTTTCCTCCACAACATGCAGATTTGGTTCTCACCTTCTTAAACAACCACGATAGTGTTGATCTCTGGCCTCTTGACCTCCCGCCTTTCCTTCCACCTCTTTCCCTATCCTGGCCTCAGAGAGACCATGTAGATACCTATATGACCCTGATCCTTTCTTGCTTAAGAATCTTCCACGGTTTCCCCATTGCCTTCAGATAAAGCTCTAGCTCATCAGCCTTTCTGTCTTCCCTCACTGCTTGAACTAGTTGAAGGTCAGGACTGATTTAATCGTTTTTGTGAATTTGCAAAGGCGTGAATGAAGGAAATGAGTGGTGGTGTGTGGTGTTTTTGTTGCCTCCTCTAGACCCTTTTCTGCCACTGGTGCCCATATAGGCTATCCCGAGACCCATCCCTAGCAGGCCACCTCCATGAGAGTCCCAAGGCCATGACTGTCAGAGAGCTGGCCAAGTGGGACCAGCTTCTCCAGTACAGATGATGGCCCGTGGACCCAGGACACGGGGGCTCTCATCCACCCTTGCTATCTTACTTGGACAAGCCTCTCGCTTCCTCTGAGCCTCAGGGTTCATTTGCCACAGGTAGAAACGGGGCAGGACGATCTCAAAGAGTCAATCATAGCGGACTCTCTGAATCTGAGGTTCCCTCTTCTGGGCTTGTGATCTTTGGTTCTCACCACAGGTTTCCTGTTGAAGCTTTCTCTGCCCTCCCTCATCTGCATCTTTCCACTCTCTCGCAGAGGGACCCGGACCGAGTAGACAGACTGTGCCAGGGCATGAGGAAGAGATGTTGCTGAGGCTGCTGTTGCTGCTGCTGCCTGTGCTGCGGGGAGGTGAGTGGGCCGAGGGGAGAAGGCAGCCCACCCGGGGGAGGCCCTGGAGCTCCAGGCTGAGTTTTTCTCTCTCCCTAGGAGCCCTGGCTAAGGATTCAAGCTACTGGCTGGAACCACAGGAGTCTGTGAGTGTGCAGGAGAGTCTGTGTGTCTTTGTGCCATGCAAGTTTTCAGACTCCTGGAGTATCAGTGGACCCCCCTACCTGTATTGGTTCAAGAAAGAAGGGAATAAAAGGCGTGGTCTTCTAGTTGCCACAGACAATCCAAAAGAGGAGCTACAGGAGACGATCCAGGGCCGGTTCTTGCTCCCCGTGGACCCCAAGTCCAGTGACTGCTCCCTGACCATCAGAGATGTCAACAAGAGGGACAGTGGGACGTACTTCTTTTATTTAAAATATGGACGCTATGAACATACATACAGAGATACATTTTTCACTCTGAAAGTGACAGGTATGGTAGGGGCCCAAAGGAAGACCCCCAGGTGTCAGGTACCAGAAATGGAAAAATGAAGGCCCCTGGGGTTGGGGTGGGGACAGTCATGACAAAACCCTGGGGCAGGCTGACATGCCGAGGGGTCTCACCACCTCTCTCTTCACTCCAGCCCTGACCGACAAACCTGACATCCAGATCCCAGGGCCCCTGGAGTCCGGCCGCCCCAAGAAACTGAACTGCTATGTGCCCTGGGCCTGTGAGGAGGGCACGCCCCCCATCTTCTCCTGGACATCAGCTGCTTACACCTCCCTGGACCCCAGGTCTCATCATCTCTCCTCCGTGCTCACCCTCACCCCTCGGCCCCAGGACCACGGCACCAACCTCACCTGTCAGGTGTATTTTCCTGCCACTGGTGTGAGTGTGGAGAGAACCATCCGGCTCAATGTGGCCTGTGAGTTCTGGGGCAGGACTCCCGGGTCCCTAAGGGTTTGTGGCCAGGACAGAGCTGGGCCAGGGCTTAAAATCAGGGTCCTGATAGTCCACCAGGAAGGGAACCCCCTCTCCTGGTTCCATGGCTGCTGGGGAAAGGCCCAGTGCCCACCCATGGGTGTCCTTCTGTCCCAGATGCTCCACAGAACATGGCCATCCACGTCTTTCAAGGGAACAGCACAGGTAGGAAGGGGCCTCTGTCCTCAGGGCTGGGAGGGACACAGGGTCTAGGTGAGTTCAGAGCTACGTGGGATATATAGGGGAGGCCAGCTACTGAGGGCAGACGGAAGGCTCCTCCCCACACCTCAACTCTCTAAATCTCTTGCTCACCCACAGCTTTCTGTGCCCAAATAAAAAGGAAGCTTGCGTCCCTCTTGCTTCACCCTCCTCTCTGAAGTTTTACCTCCTCCTGCTTCTGTTACCTCCTCTTTGGCCCATGCCTGCGTTTGTTTTTCATATTCCATGTCCCCTGTCCTCCAGCTGCGAGGCAGCCTGGGCGACTTTGGGCCCCTTCGGAAGGGCTGAGGCCAGGGGGTGTTGGTCCTCTCCTCAGAGCTAGTGTGGACATAGCAAGGAGGAGAGACCTCAGCTTTGTCCACCCCATCTCAGCTTTGCCCACCCCATCTCTCTCTCTCTCTCTCTCTCTCTCTCTCTCTCTCAGCCCTCAAGATTCTGAAAACCACATCCCTTTCCATCCTGGAGGGAGAGGCCCTGAGGCTGCTCTGTGAGGCTGACAGCAACCCCCCTGCCAAGCTGAGCTGGTTCCGGGGGTCCCCAGGCCTGCACGCCACCCCCCTCTCCAGCACCGCGATCCTGGAGCTGCCTCGCGTGGTGCCTGCACAGGAAGGAGAGTTCACCTGCCAAGCTCGGCACCTGCTGGGCTTCCAAAGCGTCTCTCTCAGCCTCTCTGTGGTCTGTGAGTGGGGAGACCCCGGGGGGCAGGACAGCTGGGTTCTGGGGAGATTAGAGGCACCGCTGACCCTTCTCCTCGCTCCCCACAGACCCCCCGCAGCTGCTGGGACCCTTGTGCTCCTGGGAGGACCAGGGTCTGCACTGCAGCTGCTCCTGCAGGGTCCAGCGGGCCCCCTCCCTGCGCTGGCGGCTGGGGGCGGGGCTGCTGGAGGGGAACCATGGCAACGCCTCCCACGTGGTCACCTCCAGCTCAGAGGGGCCCTGGACCAACAGCTCCCTGAGCCTCCGAGCAGGGCTCAGTGAGGGACTCAGACTCAGCTGCGAGGCCCGGAATGTGCACGGGACCCGGAGCACCGCTGTCCTGCTGCTGCCAGGTCAGGACCTGCTGGGGGCAGAGGCCACGGAGGAAGGAGTGGGTCAGAGAGAGGGTGGGGCTGGGGGAGGGGAGCTGCGCGGGCACAGGAGTGATTGCTAGGACAGGGCCTGCATCTCCTGCCCAAGCGGAACCTACAGCGGGTTCTGCAAGAAGGTAGGAAGAGGAGAGACTGAGTCCCGGGAGTGGGAGGTGTCATGCACGGAGGGAAAAGCCCTCAGACCCTGGGGCCGCCTGGGATGCAAATGGAACAGGAAGGTGAATTCATCTGCCGAGCTCAGAACCTGCTGGGCTCCCTCCTTGTCTTGCCAAGCCTCTCTGTGCACTGTGAATGGTGGGGTCCTGGGTTACCCAGGGGAAGCACACCTGGGTCCTGGTGTTGGCAGCACTGAGAATGGCAGCAGGTGTTAGGCTGGTGGGGTCGGACCGAACCTTGGTTCAGCAACCTCAGTTCTTGAGTTCTGGCTGAGAAAGAATTCAGAGCCAAGACTCAAAGAATAAATGGAAGTTTGTTTAGAAAGCCAGAGAGTTAGAAGAAGTGATCCGTAGAAGTAGAGGGCTTAGAAAACAAGCTACAGTGGCAAAAGAAGGGGCCCTTGGCGCTTAAGATAGAGAGGAATAAAGATAATGTTCCTGTGTGTGTGGGTCGGTGGGGGAACAGTGGGGGAGGGGAAGGCCTGCGTGTGCCCCCCAGCACACTGGGTCCCCATCTTTAAAAAAAAAATATATATATATATATATTGATTTCAGAGAGGAAGGGAGAAGGAAAGAGAGAGAGAGAAACATCAATGCTGAGAGAGAATCATTGATCGGCTGCCTCCTGCACGCCCCCCACTGGGGATCGAGCCCGAAACCCAGGCATGTGCCCTTGGCCGGAATCGAACCTGGGACCCTTCCGTCTGCAGGCTGACGCTCTATCCACTGAGCCAAGCCCGCCAGGGCTGGGTCTCTGTCTTGAGGGTGTTTATCTGGAGGTCTGGCGTGGGGGGAGGATCCCAATAGAATGTTCATCAGGTTCATCAGAGTGTGTCCTTTTGGGGTCATGGTGTCCACTGCTTGGTGGGTCCCGGGCAGGGGGTCACTGGTCACTGGGGGAGGGGTATCAATTCCATTATTTGATCGGACCCAACAGAAAGGTCACCGTGGGCTGAGGTCCTTGGCTTCCCAGTTTTGCCCTTTGCTGGGCATCGGGGTTTTCCTGCCCTGGTGGTTTTCCATACCTGGCCCATCGTCCTCGCTCTGCTCAGGTCTAACTGCCAACCAACTAGGAGGGCAGAGGCACCGCTGACCCTTCCCCTTGCTCCCCACAGACCCCCCGCAGCTGCTGGGACCCTCCTGCTCCTGGGAGGACCAGGATCTGTTCTGCAGCTGCTCCTCCAGGGCCCAGCCGGCCCCCTCCCTGCGCTGGCGGCTGGGGGCCGGGCTGCTGGAGGGGAACCACAGCAACGCCTCCCACGCGGTCACCTCCAGCTCAGAGGGCCCCTGGACCAACAGCTCCCTGAGCCTCCGCGTGGGGCTCAGCTCTGACCTCAGACTCAGCTGCGAGGCCTGGAATGTCCTAGGGGCCCAGAGCGCCTCTGTCCTGCGGCTGCCAGGTAAGGGGGCCTTTTGAGGTCAGAGGCTTAGGGAGAGAGGAGTGGGTCAGAGAGAAGGTGGGGCTGGGGGTGGGGGGCTGCTGCCTGGACAGGGGCGATTGCTAGGACAGGGCCTGCATCTCCTGCCTGAACAGAACCGACAGCGGGTTCTGCAAAGAGGTGGGAAGAGGAGAGACTGAGTCCTGGGAGTGGGTGGTGTCACCTGAGCTGGTGCTGGAGGAACAAGCCCTGAGTCCTTCCCAGCCCTCAGCACCAGGGCTCCTGGAGCTGCCTGAGATACAAATGGAGCATGAAGGCAAATGCATTTGCCGAGCTCAGAACCTGCTTTGCTCCTCCTCCCTGTCTTGTTAAGCCTCCCTGTGCACTGTGAGTTGCGGGGTAGGAGGGGATGAAGGGCTCTTGGGGGCAGGTCACCTGCATCCCGGGACCTTTTTCCTCGCTCCCCGCAGCTGCTGGGACCCTCCTGCTCCTGGGAGGACCAGGGTCTGCGCTGCAGCTGCTCCTCCCGGGCCCAGCCGGCCCCCTCCCTGCGCTGGCGGCTGGGGAACCATGGCAATGCCTCCTACAGGGTCACCTCCAGCTCTGCAGGGGCCGTGGGCCAACAGCTCCCCGAGCCTCCTGGTGGAGGGTGGGGCTCCACGCTGGTCTCAGACTCAGTTGCCACTTTCTTCCCTGTTCATCAGGCCCAGAGAGCCAGTGTCCTGCTGCTGCCTGGGGCCTGTTGAGGGGGTGATGCCTGGGAGAGGAGGAGCCCCCACACTGCAGTAGGTTCCCAGCTGCTGTCACCAAATACCTCCAACAGGGAGGCTTAGTCAGGGAGACTTGTGGTCTCACCGTTCTGGAGGCAGGAAGTCCAAGGTCAAGGTGTCAGCAGGGTGGAGTCCTTCTGAGGCTGGGGGTGTGTTGCAGGTCTCCCCTAACTTTTGGGGGGGGGTTGCTGGCAATCCTTGGCGTTCCTCAGCTTATACAAGCATCACTCCAGTCTCTGCCTTCATGCTCTCCTGGCGCTCTCCCTGTGCGTGTCTGTGTGCAAATCCCGACATTTTATGAGGACACTGGTCCTGTTGGATTTAGGGACCACCCTAGTGACCTACATTGTAACTGTCACTTCTGTAAAGACCCTATCTCCAAGTCAGATCACATTCTTTTATTATTATTATTAAATATATTTTATTGATTTTTTATGAGAGGAAGGGAGAGGGATAGAGAGTTAGAAACATCAATGAGAGAGAAACATCGATCAGCTGCCTCCTGCACGCCCCCTGCTGGGGATGTGCCTGCAACCAAGGTACAGGCCCTTGACCAGAATCGAACCTGGGACCCTTCAGTCCGTAGGCCGACGCTCTATCCACTGAGCCAAACTGGTTAGGGCTCAAGTCACATTCTGAGAGATGGTGGGGTGGGGGTGGGGGTACGGAGGGCCAGGACTGCCACATACAAATCTTGGGGGCACACAATTCAAGCCATAACAGCCCCGGAGAGAGGGAGCTGGGAAAGAGGCATTTTAAGGCTTGGATGGGAGTGGCTGATGTGTAAGAGCCTCAGTCCTGAGGTCGGGGAAGGGGGTGTGGAGGGGAAGGGTCTGGTCCAGGGTCTGCACGGTGACAGAGTGCCGAGTGACCGAGTCCTGGACGGAGAGTGGGTCCACCCACGGGCCAGGCAGAGACAGAAATGGCCAGTTTGGAGGACGCTATGGGTTGGGGTTGGAATTTACACAAATCTCAAACTACCTACAGGTAAACCGGAATCCAGGGCCCGTGGAGTCCTGGGAGTGGTTGGGGGAGCTGGCATCTTGGCCCTGGCCCTGCTTTCTCTCTGCCTTTGTCTCATCTGCAGGTGGGAGTGAGCTCCAGGGACAGAGGGCGGGGCCTGGGGTGGGAAGGGCTTAAGGTCTGGGCATCACAGAAAACCTGAGCTGGAGGACCCCGGGCTGGTGGGAAAGCCAGGAGCCAGGGAAGGGAGGTCGAGCGCTGGCATGAAACAACCTGTAATCTACTGGGCCAAGTAGATTGGGGTCTCTTCCCAGCTACTCTATGTCTGGCGCTTGGGTTCGGGGAGCACCTGGGGACGGGACCCACCCACCTAGTCATGTGCTCTTCATATAGTTTAGGGGAGGTCTGCCCATTCCATGCCCCAAGTAACAAGGCTGAAATGCCTGGGGTTGTTTCCGTAGAGTGAAGACCTGCAGGGAAAAAGCAGCCCAGCTGATGCAGAGCATGGACAAGGATATGCATCCAGGCGCAGGCACAGGCTCCGGGGTGAGTGATGGGACGTAGCTCCCATTCAACATTATACCTTTCGGATGCTGCCCCCCAGAGGGGCTTTAAGACATTTCAGTGTTAGATGTCCAACACTTCCTGGAATTGCACAAGTGTTTATTTAATTTAACTTATTTTTTTAAAATAGATTTTTATTGATTTCAGAGAAGAAAGGAGAGGGAGAGAGAGATAGAAACATCAATGATGAGAGAGAATCTTTGATCGGCTGCCTCCTGCACGCCCCACACTGGGGATCGAGCCTGCAACCTGGGCCTATCCCTTGACTGGGAATCCAACCATGATCTCCTGGTTCATAGGTCAACGCTCAACCATTGAGCCACACCAGCCGGGCAATGATGAAACATTTTTGTTGTTGTTGTTAATCCTCACCTGAGGATATTTTTCCATTGATTTTTAGGGAGAGTAGAAGAGAGAGGGAGACAGAGAGAAATATCGATGTGAGAGAAACACATCCATTGGTTGCCTCCTGCACGAGCCCTGATCAGGACCCCGGGCTGGGGGGGTGGGGGGTCTGCAACCAAGGTAGGTGCCCTTGACCGGAATCGAACCGGGGACCCTATCCACTAAGTCAAACTGGCCAGAGCCATGACTATACCTTTTAAAATAAGTGGACTGGTAAACAATAAAACTCCCACCAGTCCCAATCTCAGCCTGGCCCTTGGCGGCTCTCTTCCGGACCCTTCTGAGCCTTGGAACCTTCCTCTTCTCTCCACTCAGGCACATCAGCACCCGTTCTGGACAGACAGCTCTGCGGCTCCCCCAACAGTTCCCCCAGCCCCTGGTGGTGCTGGTCCCCCCGCCAAAGGTGAGCCGGAGCTCCACTATGCTTTCGTCAGGTTCCACAACCGGAAGCCCCAGGGAAATGAAGATGCCAACATTGTGTACTCAGAGATCAAGACACACAAGTGAGGAACTACTTGCTCCGGGTTCCGAAGGCGGAAAAACTGAGATCAACATGCCAGCAGGCCCGGTGCCTTGGGAGGCCTCTCCGCTCGGCTTGCAGATGGCCGTCTTCTCTCTGTGTCCTCCCATGGTCCTCCCTCTGAGTGTCTGTGTCCTAACCTCCTCTCCTTATAAGGACAGCAGATATACTGGACTAAGGCCCACCCTTATGACCTCACTTGAACCGCAGTATCTCTTTACAGACTCTATCTGGAAACATAACCGAACTGTAAGGAGAAATGATGAGGTACTGGGTTTAGGACTTCAACTGGTTACGTTCACAATTTTTTTCAGCCCATAACTTCAGTGTCTGATTATTTTAAAATTAACGATTTTCTTGGCAATGGTCTAAATCCTTTGGTATATATGAAGGACCGGAGGACTTGTGTCTGAAAGAACTGAGTTCAAATCCATCTATACCACTTATCAAGTGAGTCCGTTTATTTCTCTGCTGTTCTGCAAAGCAGGGAAATCATCCCTATCTAACCAGGCTGTTGTGAAAGATCAAAAAACAGTACCTAGGAAACAGTTAACAAAAGCACTAACACACCCATGGCTGGTGTTTCTCAGTGGTTAGAGCATTGGCCCATGCACTGAAGTGTGGTGGGTTCAATTCTCGGTCAAGGGCACGTATCTGGGTTGCAGGTTTGATGCCTGGCCCCAGTCAGGGCTTGTGTGGGAGGCAACCAATTAATGTCTCTCTCTCACACTGATGTTTCTCTATCTCACACACTCTCTCTCTTCCCTCCCTTCCTTCCACTCTTTCTAAAATGGGAAAAATATCCTCAGGTGAGGATTAACAAAACTATGTATATGAAAGCCTAAGCTACCGGCCAATCAGCTGATAGCTATGATGCACAATACCACCAGGGGGCAGATGCTCAACGCAGGAGCTGCTGAGTGACAGCAACTTTGCAGAGTGCCCTCTAGCACTCCGGGACACCTCAGGAGATGTCAGACTGCCAGTTTTGGCTCGAACCCCACAGGCCAGGTTAAGGGACCCCACCTGCTGGAGGGACCCCACTCACTCCCCAGACGCCCTTTGAGCCCCGGCACCACCCCAGGTGTGGCCGGCTGGGGTGGGACTGTGGGAGGTTGGCTCCAGGGCGTGTCTGGCCCATCTCGCCCAGTTCCACCCCACCAGCCACCTTCTAATTAATTTCAATGTGCATGAATTCGTGCACTGGGCCTCTAGTAAATAAATAAGTAAATAAATAACGTGCTGACAAAGCTTTTTGTGACCTCTGAACACGTGTGTGTCAGGACTTTTGTTAGCTGTTACAACAAACTTCCTGCTAACAATTCTCCCCTCTGGCCTGAAGGGGCCAGTGCCAGAGGCCACAATATCTGATGTTTGTGTCACAACCGGCTCAGAAGTCTTCATGAGTGCCCCAGTAAAGTTTATTTACTTCATCTTTCTGTTCAAGGCTCTACACACCCTTCTCCGAGCTGATCTCACCCACCTCATTTCTAACCAGCCACCCATTCATTTCCCATGCCAATCCCAACAGCTACCTCTTAGAGATTCAAGCCTCCACACCGTCTGTGAAACTGAAGAAAATCAATGAACTCCAAGGAGTAGGGGAAATTCTTAAGAGTGGTCAGAAAAATGCCCTGACCTGTGTTCCTCAATGGTTAGAGCGTCGACCCAGGAACTAAAGGGTCTCGGGTTCGATTCCGGGTCAAGGGCACGTCGTATCTGGGTTGCAGGTTCAAACCCTGGCCCAACCAATTGATGTGTCTCTCTCACATTGATGTTTCTCTTTTTCTCTCTCTCTTCCCCTCTTCCCTCTCTCCCTTTCGCTTTCTCTAAAAATCAATGGAAAAAATATCTTTGGGTGAGAATTAACAAACAAAGAAAAAAAGAGTAGAAAAAAAAAGAGAATACATTTAAAAAGACCAGAGTTAGACACACAGCTGATATTTTTAGGGACACTATGAGAAGACCAAATACAATGGAAGGATATCTTATGTCCTGAGAGATACAAATGTTAATTTAAAAGTCCTACTTATTTAACATTATGTTTTAAGCTTGAAGGTGGAATAAAGATATTTAATACAAACAGAAATGAGACCATTCATAAACAAAAACTTCTCCAAGTAAATTCTAAAAGATATAATTTGGGTATTCGTGATCCCAGATTGAAGCTGAAATATACAAAAAGGAATGAAACCATTATAAAGTGGCCAATATGTGAGCAGAAAGAAACAAATACTTATTATAAAATATAATGATGTGTAGAGGGGTCAAATATAAATATAATATTTAAATACCATACTATAGTAACATGACTCATAAACATGTAAATAGAACTTACATTTGATAAAGTCTTTATATTATTCAGGAGAAAATGAAATATGATAAGCTTTAGATTTTGATATTTTGTTATAATCTCAGGGATATTTTTAAAAGAATCGACCCCAAGTTTATCACCTCCAAACTAGGAGAAGTATAAAAGGTTTGGAAACATTATTCAATCAAACCAGAGGGGAAAAAAAAAAGATTAAGAGAGAGGGAAAAGAGAGAAGAACATATATATAGTACAAATATAAGATTCTGTATTTAGATCCCAATACATTTTAAAAATTGCATTAAGCACAAATGGACTTAGTGCTCTCAATAAAACACAAATATAGTCAGGCTGGGGGGAAATGTGCATATATGTTGTTTACAAGAGATCTATGTGAAACCTAGATTGTTCTTTGATTGACTTTTTCTGAGAAATACCAACCATCACAAGTATATTAGTATCAGAAAATATATACTTTAGAATATAGGTATTAATGGAGATAAATGGGACCACTTCATAATGATTAAAGGTTCAATTTACCAGGAAGGCATAACACTTGAAATGTACATGATATGACAACATACAGCAAAAACTGACAATTAAAAAAAACAAAACAAAAAAACTAATCCACATTCTTAGAGGGAATTTTAATATATATTTTACAATCGCTGATGAAACACACAGACAAGAAAGTCACTAAGGATTTGTTATTATACTACACATAAACAACATCATTAATGAACTCGATCTACAGCCATAGATAGAAAACTTGTCCCAAATGATGAGAAGATATATATTCTATTTGAGCACACACAGTGAACATTCCAAAATATTTATCATATCCTGGACCATATAAAGCAAAATTTCAACATATGTCAATGGACTGAAATACAGAATATGTTCACTGATTCCAAGGCTATTAAGCTAGAAATCAATAACAAAAGCATATTCTATTTATAATATATTATATATACTAATAAACATAACTATGTATATGTATATTAGTGAAATTTAGAAAATTCCTTATAAATAAGTCAAGGATAAAATAATCATTAACGCAGATTTAAAATTATTTAAAACGAAGTGATAATAAAAATACTAAAGCCCTAGCTGGTTTGGCTCAGTGGATGGAGCGTTGGCCTGCAGACTGAGGGGTCCTGGGTTCAATTCTGGTCAGGGGCACATGCCCATGTTGTGGGCTCGATCCCCAGTGTGGGGCATGAAGGAGGCAGCCGATCAATGATTCTTATCATTGGTGTTTCTATCTCTCTCTCCCTCTCCCTTCCTCTCTGAAATAAATAAAAATATATTTAAAAATACTGAGTATAAAATGTTTAGTTTTGGAAAGCTAAAGTGGTTATTAGAAGAAATATATATAACTTCAGATGTCTATATCAGAGATGAGTTTATTTTTCAAAACGTAGGAAAATAACAATAAAATAAACCAAAAGGAAATTGAAGGAAGGAAATCCCAAATGATAAGAGCACATAGAAAAAATATTCAATAGAAATGAACAACATCAGGAACTTTTAGTTCTTTGATTCGGAGACAAAACTCAGTTAAATCCAGAAATATATATAGAAGGCAAGAGCAACCAGCATCTGGGAACATAAAGAGGACATTACTCTACGTAGCAGCAATTAGACAGAAAGTAATGAAAATCCTTAAGCCCATAAAGTTAAAGTCTGTAGAGTCAATGGGAAAATGCCCAGACAAATATATTATTCAAACCTTCAGCCATTGTTCAGTGAGTATTGATTCTCATGACCATCTCTCAGCCCAGATGAAATGCAAACCCAATGTACCGACAAAATTCGGACACTAGGTGGCGGCACCTCAGCGTTCTTTCAGGTTCCCTGTCACTGGGTAACTGTCCACTACTTGCTGTGCCCACATATTATCAGAACTATTTGTAAACCGAGATAAAAATCTTTCCTCCTCGTAGAATGGACATAAAGGGACACAGGGCCATACTTCTTCGGAGCGGAGCGAGGGCACGATGAGGCATATAGTTACAAACAGAACCAGCTGTCTGTACGTGTGACGGGTAAGGAATGGGATCAAGGACAGCGCACGTGGATGGGTCCTGAGGCCTCCTGGGCCGGGAAGGAACCCATTTCTCTCATCCTGGGAAAACCCCATGGAATCATGGGGGCAGGACACTGTGTTGGATAGAGGTAGAGGTAGAGGCTGCTATTAGGGCGCACCCTCAGGGACCCCGCCTCGAGGACCTGGGTCTGTCTCTCTTTTCTTCAGCTCTGTCAAGGACACCCGACATCCACTTCCACGGGTTCCTAGAATCTGGGCACCCCAAGAACGTTACCTGCATGGAGCCCTGGGCCTGTGAGAGGGGCGCCCCCTCCATTCTATTGGATTGGGGTCACCGTCACTTCCCTGGGTTCCAGGACGTTCAACTCCTCAGTCGGTCACCCTCACACCAGGGCCCCAGGACCACGGCGCCAACCTCACCTGTAGAGCGGCCTTCCCTGGAGCTGAGGTGAGCACAGGGAGGACCATCCGGCTCAACGTGTGTGAGTGCTCAGCCAGGACCACGGTCCCTGGGGCTCCGTGTCAGGGTGGGGCAGGGCCCTGGTAGAGGAGACTTGGGGACTGTTCTTGGACGCATGGCTGGAGTGAAGGTGAGAGAACACCCAGACCCACCCCCTTGCTCATGA